TGCTTCTTCTCAGAAACCTAGACATCCAAAGATGTTCTATATACCTGGTGTTACCAACAATGAAACTTCCATAATCAACTGCTATCTAGCCGTGGATTTAGCGCATGGTAATAAGCACAGCGAGGACTGAGAATTTTTGAATGCAGTCTAAATACTTAAACCTTTTGCTTCCCAGAGCAGCAGAATCACTCTGCAGTTTTTCACTTTGGCTCAGTCATACTAAGGACATACATGTACGTCTGCCTGGGGCTAACCAATTAATTTATGGAAACTTAAAATGTTACAACGAAATGGTATATATTCCTCCCACTTTTCTTGCTGTGAGCAAAAAAAAATTCAAGCGGATTGTGAATATTTATTTTATACTATAAGAAAGTTGTTATTTGCTGAACGGTGACTGACAGTTGTAACCCTTGGAGTGAAATTGGAATAGTAGACACTGCTTCAAATAGTTTAGGAAAAGGAATTCAAACATAATTATTCAAAGAAGAAATTAAGCTTTTCGGCAGAAAGCAACAAACTGTCATTTCTGAATATCCAAATAAAGTACGAGTACTTACAAAAGCTGGTACCAGCACTGAAATATGACGGCCATGGTTCCTACGGCAACTTGTCAGAATACACCGCGAGCTCAGCTCAGCAAATAAATCTACAACTTGTCTTCAACATCACCAAACTGTGAAGTGCACCCCCACCCTGTGTATGTGTTGTGGTGCCGCACCACCACATATGAAAAAAAAATCCAAACTGTGACTGACAGTGCGTACCCTCATCCCCCTTCGCACCCCTCCGACTAGTGGTGACTTCCCGTCCCCTTCACTCGCTTGCTGGGGGGAGGGGGGAGGAATGGAGGAGGATATGAGCTCACTTGTCTGCTGGGAATGCCCCTGGTTGAAAACTGTTCAAGATTTGGGTTTCGTGCACGTGTGTGAAGGTGGGGGCTGACAAATGCAATGGCAAACGGGCAAGTCAAATGTGAAAAGTTGTTTCAAAGAAACTCCACTGTTGGAATAACTACAGCTGAGTGTCTGGTTCTTCAGGACTTGTTGAATATGATTGCTGCCATTCAGTTTTGTTATTTTTGGGATTATGATGCTGAAGCCTTACGTGTAGGTCAATCCAGTTTCTCTTAATACTAGTCTAATTTCTCAGTTGGGACAACACTGACGGAGTGACAGCGCAGGGCGATGGTCTTATCTCCCGTCCAATCACGGACAGTCAAAAAGACAGCAAACAACATGAAACATTTATTTCCATGCGGCCATTCTTTACAATAAGCAAACATGATTCACATTACTTATGTACTGAGTACATGGCCATTAACTTAACCAACATTACATAATGTATCATTTTACATTTGATAAATTAGATGACAACATTTAGGGGTTCAAGGTTAAGCAAGACCGCTTTTGTATCCCAACCTAGGGAGAAAAAAAGAAAACTTAGCAATCTAACATCCTAGGACAAATGACGAACAGGACAAAACAAAAACAAGTGTAAGACAAATGACAGCTGCAGGCTGGAAACAGCTGCCCACTCCGCCGTGCACAGAATGGCATGACGGCGACACGCACGCGAGTGGAATAACGACAGAAAAATCAGACCAATGAAACAACCAAGAAAAGCTGCCGTTGAAGTCAATCCTATCTCCCACCCACACAGTGTATGAAGAGAAGAAGTCAACATTCGATGAGGTGACACAAAACTATTCCGTTTTTTTGAAATATGTGTACGATTTCAGTTGGACGTTTTTCTTTTTCCAGTAAATAGGTGAATGTAACACTGGTTTTCATTTGAAGGCTTTCGCTTCCGGATGTGTTTGTGAGTGTGCCGTGCTGCACGTACATGTACATGATGAAAGATGGATGACTGTAGGACAGCCACACACAGGAAGTCACTTTCAAGTTGAAATGCGACCTCTTGGAAATCAACCCTTTGGGCATGTTCGGATGGTTCTGTGCTGTGAAGTCATTCTTTGTTGTGGACAAAAATTTACCCTTTCATAACACAAATTTGGGCACTTTTACTTTGAAAGGGATTACTTGTGTACGGTATATAGGAAAAAAAGAAAGCTTCTTTACACGAAGATTGATTTGGGATCTTGAAGGTGCCTCTTGGACGGTTTTCAGCCCAAAGTCTGCAAGTGGTTAATATTCCAAGCAAAGATTAACAAACAAACACAGGCTTCAACTTTGCCTGAACACAGCGTCCACTTGGATTACTACGGTATCGCCCAAGCAGCAGTTTATTCACACTTGCCCTGTATGAATCATGTTATCAGTCATGTGACAAGACAAAGGAAAAATGGCTGACATGACCGACGCAGCATCCTGGGGGTGCCTTGGTGCATGACTCAAAACTAACAGCCTGCCTGATGTGACATAACCCAGAAAGTCATTGCTCCAGCACGGAGATAAAAAAATCCCATTAACAACATCAGAGCAGTCAACATTAATTATTTCATCCATTTTATCTGGGGTTGCAGGGAAGCTTCTCGTGAACCTGGGATCAGTGGGTTTCACTCAGCCATCCCACTTAAATCAATCAAATACGTAACTTCCCTCCGGAATACTGCTTCCTTCATCTGTCACTTGAATAAACTGACGCTCCATTCTTTGAAAAACTAGTTCAAGTACAGCCTTTCACAAAGAGGCAGCTGCAGACCATTTGAGAACTGTGCTCATAAACAAATTTAAACTGAGGGACTGGAAAAAAGAATCATCGTTAACAACGGATTTGGTGAATATCGTATTGAGATTGTTTTTCAGGCATGTGGTACTTTTCTTCGGCTGAAAAGTCATTTGCAAGTGAAATATACTGGTAAATAATATCTAGGGTGTCCCGAGTTTTCCTTTTCAAACATCTGTGCGTCCACTTTTTTACTAGAAGTTCATTCTATAGATGAGAGCTCCATTTTTTTTGGTCTCCATCAAATGCACCTGATTTGGTTAGTTTAGAACACATTCTTCAATTTTCAAGAGTGGTGAAGTATTGCAAAGTACACGTCCCAAATATATAAACATAGCTTGAAGTCAATTTCAGAGCTTTTCTCAGTCCAAATCACACAAAACAGGTGGAACAGGGACACAAAAATGTCTCACTTTTGAATCCCGAATTTACCAAATGACCCTGAGTAAATACGCTGTTTCGTGCGTTCCTAAGCAATCTTGTATTTCTTCCATGCTCAACCATTCTATAACATTTTTTCTATTTGCCAATGACAGAAAATCTGCAATACTGATTTGACAGTAAGGAATATTGGGAAATCAACCAATCAGAGGACTAGCGCAATACCATGAACTTTGACATCAGCTACTGATGAATCATGTCTTGCTCCATCTTGTGGTTAAGAATGTCTAATCCCTGGGAGTTACAGGGGCCTACAGTCTTAAAGGCAACTGCAAAATGATCACCGATAACAAGAGGAAATCAAGCGAAGTGTTTAGGAGGGAAAATACATGCCCGATCAAACCCAACTGATACCCATTGTCAAAGAATTGCATCCCGAGACCTTTTCATGACCAAGATTGGGGATGGACTGGAACAGAACTTCAAAAGTTTTTGTGACATCTTTCAAAAACTAGCGCAGCCTTAGTTGCTCCCATTAGGTGACAGCTGTCCAACCATCGATGATCACCTTATGGGCAATGTTCAGTATCACGCTCAGGCATCCAGAAAGAAATGAATATCGATGGCATGCAAGACACCGAGGCACAGACAGTCATGGATGAGATACTACGTAACGTCATTCCACCCAAAAAGTGAACAAAATGATGTCCAAAACTCAGAACATTTTCACATAAAGCGCCTTTCTTTCAGGTGGAAATGCCGCCTCTTGAAGCCAAACTGATACTCCAGTTTGATGTATTTTGTTTATGGTCCGCTATTTTGTTGACAATTAGGGCTGCATCTGTTAGTGCTAAAACAAGACAGGCAAAATGAGTCGTACTGAGAGAGAGGGACATTGTTGTATGTCCCTCATGCTGGCGCGCATGTTTGTACAGGCCTTCTTTAGTGACTTGATGCAGATAGTTGGCAAAGTTGAACCTGATCCAACTTTCCTGACTGTCTGCGTCGAGGTATGCGTTAGTCACGATAAAGTGTTTCCTATCATTGCATATCGTTGGGGACTGATCGGCGATGCTCTCTGTATCCCTTTTACATTGACATGGAAACCAGGCTTAACTCCATGAATGCTACAAGTTTTGTAGCTGCATGCTTGCTTCCAACTTTCATCAAATTCCACAGTTCCGGACAGGAAAACCTATGGCCGAGCTAAGGCGTAAACTTGGTCTGTCTCTTGTTGACAAGGAGGTCTGCGGGGGGAATCTTTGCTTGTTCGGTCATCCCTGGGGCACAAGTGAGGACAGCTAGCCAAGGGAGAGTCTTGGCCAGTAGCCCATCGCCACCCGTCCGCACCGCCATTCAAGGAAATGATGGGTCGAAAATGTCAACAGTGACCTGAAATGTCCACGGATCAATGCCACTGTGGTGCTGAACTGAGTAGAGTGGCTAAAATCAATCCCGCCAAGCAGGCGTGATCATCATGGAGTCCACACTTGCAGTTAGCAGGGAAAGACAGACTTTAATTGGGATAAAATGAGGAGTTGCACTTTTACGTAAATTCAAGTTGTACAAAGTTGACTGCAAGAATCACCGTTTCAGTCTATTTCTTCTCACGTCCTCTCAAGTCAGCTGCATTGTCACATTGTCATGACAATGACATGTCATGACATGCAGTGTCACGTCACAAGATTATCCAATAAAACTGTAACAAAGACATTCCTTTATTATTTTTTGTACTTATTAAATGTGACTGGCCTTAAAGGGGCTTGTAATTTCCTAGTAACCAGACTGGTCTACGATGCTAGCAAGACCGCTGCCTAGCTTCAACACAAACTGGTTGTGTCCGTTCTATGAATGGCCTGAGACTCGTGCTGATTCATTTTGGCTACAGGTTTTTAAGAAATCCCCCATCCCCTCGAATTTCTTTGACTTACATTTTGGACAGGGAGGAGCCCCTCTCCGGTCTCGTGATAGGGTGCTCCACCTCCAACTTCATCTTTCTCTCCTTGTCTTCCTGGCTCTGGTTGATCTGCTGCCTGGCAGCCAGGTTTAATGTCTTTGGTCTGCTGGGCACCGACGGGACTGTGGAACGGTGCTCCTGAGTTGACGAGGGGGAATCTGTTTTTGTTGTCGTTGTAGTTGTGGTTCTGGTTGTTTTCGTTATCTTTGTCGGCGTGGAGGGAAACTGGGGGTCACGTTCCACGGTCAGATGAAGCTCTGTGGTGCTACGGCTGATCAGCCTATCCAGCTGTTGGGCAAGAAGAGAACAAAAACAACTCAGACTTGTATGAGGGAAACTAACGGGAGAACCATTTGAGTAAACCTCATCGTATGATTGGTGGGTTGATTATGCGTCACTGCATTATCTGTCCCAATGCACGGTGCAGCCATATGATAAATATAGAATGCTCCTATCAATGCTGCACAGTTAACTTTCAAATCTACTATCACACAAATTGTATCACCCCAATCTCTTTGCATTACCATGGAGGGAGGGGAGATGCATCATCAGGGGGGGTGAATGTGCACAGGGACTACAGGGAGAATGCTGAAAACCTGGCAAGGATGACGTATTAAACACAAGACTTATAAAGTAAAGAGGGTGCTTACACTGGTGAATGTGAACTTCCCAGTCGACTCATGAATTCCCAGTGTTGAAATAGTCACAGTGTAGAATGTGATACGGACAGACAGTCTGACACACAGAAAGAGAGACCAACAGACAGACAGCCATACCCACCTCAAATAAGTTTTGTCTCTGGACCGGGGTTCCGTTGACCTCAAGAATTCTGTCGCCAACTCTGAGGGTAGGTTCACCAGGGATGCTTTCAACACTGTGCAGTAAAAAAACAGAAACAATACCTAAATACAATAATACGAAAGTACGGAAATTGAGATTTGTTTGCAATTTTTGGATAGGGGCTGATGAAACTGCCAAACAACTATACAACATTTTCTGCAATTCCAATATATGTATATAAAGTTACACAAATTTCAAACTGCTTCGCTGAATTTTACAGCTCTTTTCTTCCTCTTGGCTCAGATGACGGAAGATTCGACAGGACAGCAAAGGAAGGAAACATCAGTTTGAAGGAGGGAGAACAAAGTGAAGGGTTTTAATCTCTACGGAAACCCTCGCAAGCAAGGCAGGAACTGCAGCCAAATCCACTGGGTACATTGCAGCATTGCACTGGAACACTCCGAAGGACTCAGATTTCCTGTCCTACGCCAAATTAGTTGGGCTTAAATAAAGCCGGAAGACATGCAGTGTGTACAGCCAGTGCTGGTTCAGATTGAGGAATTAGATTTTCAGGTCAAAAGCACTTGAAGTGGAAGCACTGACCAAGCTTGTACATATCCCCATATAGATGTAACAATAAAGGGATAACAATAGAACCAAGGCCTCTGATTCTGGAAAAAATCTTCTAAAAATGCCACTTCCATGTACCAGGTTTAGCAGATTCAAGCATTTAATGACTCTTTTGAAATGGTTTCTATTATAAATAAAATTCAACAACATGAAAAAGACTATAAATCACTGATCATGAATTAAGAATCTGTTTCAAATTTGAATCAGTGCAGCAGATCGACATTACAGTTAACTAGACAGCAGCTGGATAATGCTGCACACTCTCTTTGATGTCGTCTCAAATTTGGGATCAATATCAACGGCAATGAGAGATCCATGGCCATCTTTTTCAATTTAAGGTCAAAAGTGCATTGAACACCTTAGAAAATCAAGAGCTTATAATGCCTTGAGGGTTATCCGTTCTTGTGCTTTTAAACTTCAGTTACTTTTGTGTATCGGGTTTGGGACTACTGTAAGGTTAACGGCAACCTGGCCTATCTGCAGGTAAAGTGCTATGATCCCTTGACGTATGTTAACAAAATGCCACTTTAAACACCAATTCATTTAAATGCCAACCACTGTCTATTATTATCCTCTGAGAATGGCTAATTTGGAGCACTGCCTGGAATAGAATCCTGTGGAAATGTCATACTTCCCACTACCTGTGGTTTAATCACGGGGGGGGGGCTGATCTTTGAGACATTCAGTGTGATTACGGATCTCAAAACTTGTAGGCTTCACTGCATATGCATGTGTATGTGTGTCAAGCAAAGAACAGCTGTCCACATTATACATGTGCTGGTGTACATGCACAGGTTAACTACTTTCTGCCGAGTGGAATTTGCATATGCGGAACAAGTTTCCAGGCATTTTTCTAAATGTTCCATTTTCAAAATTCTTCAAAAATTCTTCATAAAAAAAAAAACAACGTCATTTACTGGGCGCTAAGACCCACATGAATGACTGTCTTTCACCAGTAACTTGGGGCACTTCAATTCTCTTGAAGTGCAGTTCGAAGTCTTTGCTGATGAGCTTCAAACTCTTTCTTTTAACAATCCGATAAAGATAATGCAAAGTGAAAGTGATGTCTGGAAATCGGGCCGAGGGTTCCATGCAGTAGCACACACTTTTGTACGATGGCAAAATCCCTAAGTCCATCCGTGATTTTCTGTTAGGAAGTCTGTTTAAAAAAAACTTACACGGACAAATAAACCAGGATATCGGGAACTCAGCCAATATTTACTGTCAGTGCAGTTTGGGCCTAAAGCATGCTTAAAGGATGCAGGAAATGAATTTTTTCTTAGAATCACCTTTTTTGTGTATCTCTGTACTGTTCCTCCATGTATGAAGACTGTTTGACATCATTTTAGATAGACGCCTATGAATGTCAAAGCAAAACTCTGGGTAGACTATATGCTCCAAGATATTTGCTGGACTAAAGTTGACTTAATGAGTCCATATCATAAACACGTTGACTGCCGCACATAATTTCAAAGGGGTGTTCCCGTTTGCCAAGTGTAATACACATGCGTGCATATTTAATAGGTACTTTGCAGGTGTCAGCTTGAACATGAGCATTTTATGGATGTACGTCCTCGACACTGCCAGCAGCATATTTGTCGTGTTCTTCAGTGATGCCAGTGTATTCAATTTACCTTACAAAAGCCTTTCATTTCCAACGAGGATATCTGTAGTGGCAGAATCCAGTACACCTGCGACTACCAGAAAACTCGTAGTTGGCAGTCAACGTTGTCAATATGTATAGCTTAGAGCTTTAAAAAAAATGGTTTAATGTATGCTCTATCCCTGTGCATGTATTTGAGACCCTAAATCAATTTGCAACTATCTTTCCAAAAATCTTGCATGTACCAAGGAGCACTCTCAAAGAATTAGTTTGGAGAATGGCTTTATCATTGTCACTGGACTGATTACTTGGCCTGTCACGTCTGTGCACAGAATTTTTTGGCATGCACACATTGCATTGTCCATGCACATGAGTGCTACGGACTTGGAAATCCAACCATGGACATGCATACCATACATTCTTAGGTACTCGGCGACGACGTGTTTGGCTGATACGCACACGATGAAGTACATCAGCCTGAGAAAACTTATAACCCCCCCCCCAAAATGCATGCAAGGGTGAGATGGTGATCTACTGAACTTCCAAATCAGACTGCTGATATTATTCAATCCTCCTGTGAGGTTTTGATTAGCACATGTGTGGGACAAAATCTAAACAGGAATTTGGTGAATAGTCGTCCAGTACAAAAACATTTTATGAGTACGTTGGAACGGAACAAGAGTGTCCTCTTTATTCAAGAAATGCTAAATAAAGAGTTTATTGTATAGCTCACTCTATCGTGTGATGACAAACAAATCTTTAAAAAACCTGACTCTTTGTAGATTTCAGATTATTTTCAGGAAATGTATCTCAAGAACTCCTGCAATGCTGCAGTCAGGTGTCTATTAACACTTACCTATCACTTCAGAAAATGAATGACAAACACGCAGTCACAAATGAGGAAGTGCAGAAACACAACAGAAAGTGTTGTGCAAAAGTACTCTGATATAGCCATCCAAAAATAGTCCATGAGCCTTTTCACACACAAACTGGCCGTGGCTCATCTATGCAGAAAACTGCACAGCACCCTCTCTGCAGAAAAACTGTGCAGAAAAACTAAGCAAAACCGAATGGCCTGAACCAGTTCAGGGCAGTTTGCTGGCCATGATGTAATGCACTAATTAGCCAGAAATACAGCTTCACCATGTACATGTACATGTAGCATTTAGGAAAAAATGATCAGGTTTGTAATCTAACCACTAAATCTCTTTACCATTAGTATCTGTTCAATCACAGGCCTGTATACTTGGGGTTTGGGGTTCAAATATACCGGTAGGCCCTCCTCATCATCAGACAACATCACCAGATCACTGATGAGTTCCACTGGTAACTTTTTTTTCACAAACAGTACCTTTAAGTGATTTGTAAGCAAATTTATTACCAAACAGTCTTAGTAAGTATAGCATTAAGTGAGTTAAGAGTAAAGTGATGTTGTGTAGCCTAAAGAGAGCTCAAAAGATTACAATTGAAGCTTACTCTAGTGCATGTGCAAGAACTGGCACCTTGGGGCTTCAATATCCCTCCCCCAACCCCAACTTCAGTCACAGCTCAGGGAATGGGCTTGAAGCACCAGAACCTTAACTGTAACACTGTCGACGATTTCCCTAGGGGAATTCCATCCCAAAATTGTCAAGACTGGCTTTTCAGGTGAAGGTACATGTACATGCAGGCGATTTATACACAGGAAAAGAGAAAAACCAGTGCTTCAGGGAATGTGCAGTGCATGGAAGCAACGGGTACATGAGTAGGGCACCACCGGAGAAAGTTGTGACCTTGAAAGCTGAAGGCAAAGGGTGAACTTCAACTCAGGGTGGACTGCTGATTATTACAGTGGGTGTTGGTCGAGGAAGTTGGACTTGCCTTCTTAATGGGGGATTTGCCTTCGACTTGGACACAATGCACGGTTGACCCGCTCCAATTGCCTGCATCCTTATTGGCTTAGCACTGCATACTTGTTCTTTCATTATCACTACGAACTCATTACAAACCAAAGATATCAAAGTAGGGCTGTGCTGGATATCTGAATAGCCGAATATTCAATCGATCGTCAAATATTCAAATATTATTTTTCAAATTTGAGTATTCGAATGTAAAATTCATGAAACGTAAGGGAAAATTTTCTTTGTTTTTAATGAGAAGAACTGCACTGTGGAGGCTTGTTTCAAGCAGATTTAAATGAAAAGCGTCAGAAATGTTACAACGATTTTAAAAGTAAATTATTCATTGAACAATTTAAAAGGAATAGAAATTTTCAACAGGGCAAGAAGTATTGTTCATCTCTTCAATCTTGCTAAACTGTGGCTAGAGATACTCCCAGATGTGAGAAGCTATTATACTGATTATAATGTACAATTGTGTGCGTCATTGCTACTGATTTTGTATATGGTTTCTTCATCAACAACCTGCTGGTCAGTAAGACCGAGTATTCGTATATTTGATCAAATTGAAGGTCAAATATTTGAATAGTGAATTATTTGAATCGACTCAGCCCTACATCAAAGTCAAAGTCGAAATTTCTACACTAGCATGAAAATCCACCCCCCCTTCAAAATAGCACAGTGCGTCCGTATCAGTACATCAATGATGTTACTCCATGTTTATAACACTGCATACTCACCGAGTAGAAAATCTAAATGTTCATGAAGGGTGAACTATCAATAAATCAATTAACATCTCTCCTTGAGACAAACAGAGCACAGTGTCCAAAAAGGTAAAGTTGTAACAACTGGTTCTTCTCTGAACCACACAACTCAAAAAAAAGAGATTAACTTCCACGGTGTTAATTGAACATACTTCACATCTCCTTGATACAAAAATGGGATCTTATTAAAATAAGGGGAAGAATTTTTTTGGGACAAAAATACCACGGCGCATCACACACCTGATTGCCCTGTGCCCGCCCATTAAGAATTTGCTTGTAATAAATGAACAAAACAGAATTATAGGACCTCCTCAGTCCCATGCAGTTAAGTGTCACACCGTCAGAAACCAAAGCATACGATATCCTAAGCGGTGCAACGTGTGCTAACAAAGTAAGTGCCAACGGCAGGCTTACTAGGGGAAGTGCAGGGCACACGTACATGTAGTGAATGGGTTTAGAGTGCCATAGATCAACACTTCAATGCTTCCCTAGCTATGTATGGCTATGCATGGTGTAAGTACTTCCACCCAAAATTCAAGTGCTTTGAGAAAATGCCTATGCCCTTGGGTATGAAGAAGGAGCTGTGGATAGGCTTTGCTTGACTGTATGCCACATTGCATGCAGGCAAGCCGAAGCTGGTCAGAACAGGCGTAGTCCTCCATCTTCCTCCGATTGGTTGCACTGTTGGTCATCAGTGGACGAGCTTGATCACTAACAGTTTGCTGAATGCTGAGCGATTTTCCCTAAAAACCTACGCTCAGGATAAATTTAGCCTACATTTACGTTCCAGGCAAAATTGACAGTGGTTGACAAATTGGTTGCTAATCAAACGTGGCTGGTGACTACGTGCGTTAATTTATAGTATGAAGCCAACATCATCAAGTCCTGGGACAACATGAGAAGTTTGACCATACTTTGATTAGAAATGGTCTCATGTTAATCCTTAATCATCTAGCACATCTTTCAAAACCCAACAGCAGCCAATTTCACAAAACTTTATGCAATAACGTAACTCTGCTTACATGTATTTTACTTCACAAGTTGTGGAACAAATTACAGCGTAACTTACACAGTCGTTTTAGGTGGCTCACATTGAATCAACCAAATTGGAAATAGATCCTTGTTAAACCAAGTATTTATGTTTGATGTACAAGTAAGGCCCAGTGTTACTTAACTTATTAAGGTTTAAACATGAAGTGCACAGATTTTGAGAGGAGGCGATTGTGAAACACTTGTTTAGCTGGGAGAGACGTTTGAAATTTGTCCGAAGAGAAAAGCTGATAACTAAAATGGGAGGTGGAGTAATTTTAAGTGATGTTCAACAAATGCTGCCAAACTGAAGAGTTACGTTATGTTTGATGTCATTAGCAGCAGGGTATTTTGGAAAACTTAAAAGTCGCATCCCCATTCCTTTACATGGACCTCAAATGCCCCTTGAAAGTTTAAAAATGCGCCATCAGATTCCTGATGGGTTTATAGGCTCCAGGGAGATTTCTCTCAAATGGGTTAGAGTTACCATCAGCCGGACGAGTGCACAGATGGAAGATACTCTGCATGTTGGTCAATGCAACTGACCTTGATTGACCTTGCTCTAGGGTCACATTTGTTGACAAATACATTCACTTGTAATCAACTCACTCTTTGACACAGAGGCTCTGCATAGAAACCCTGGTAGACTCTGGCGTGGGCGACGTCGGGTACTGCAGAGTTTCCTCCACTGAGACCGAGAACCTCTTCTGCCCCTCGGGGGTGGGCGGGATGGTGACCAGCTGGACGGTGTGGGGTACCCTGGAGTCCGGGGTGGTGGAGATGATGGGCACCAGGACGCTGTGGTAGCACTGGCCACTGGGATTGGAGAAAGCAGACCCACAAGTGTCAGTGGGAAACTCCAGACAGAAAAACTGACCAAATTGATTCAAAACAGGTATCACTGACTGCACAGCTGTAGTTTCACTCGATAAAAGAATCAAATTCAAAGACATTAGTTCTGGTTTAGATAAAAAGATCAACGGAAACGAGACATGATTAGAATGAAGATTGTGCAGCGCATTTTCAACGATCTTATATCAAACGTGCAGAAATCTGCTCCTTCTGAAAGTTACAAGCCGAGCATGATTTAGGTCAGGTTTTATTTTGCAAAATTTTAAACTAAGAAAAGAAATGTGGAACGAAATTTTCCTGTCGAGTTTGCAAAAGTTTGTCAAACTAAAATAATATTTTGGCTGAGTATTTAAGTCTTTGTTGAGGAAGACACATCTCCAGTAAGTCTTTTCCTTTTGGGGGAGGTAGAGACAATTCCAAATTTGTCGTCACTGTCCAAACTCTCCTCACCATTGCAAAATGGATCTCAAATTTTAACTGTACAATCTATAAAGCTCTCAACACTCACTGAAAGTGAAAGGACTGCGTGGAATGTTATCACATGATAACTCGCCAGCGTGGGAGTGTTCCAGATGATAGTGAAATCCTCCACCCAATTATAGGTAATTTGGATTAGCCACTCAGCCCTCAGCAGACCCAAGTGCCCATAAAAAGCTCTGACATCTCAAAGACTTGTGTGTCTACATATTTTACTGCAGTACACAACATCGTCATACAGATTCCAACTATGGATCTTTTAATAACACTAATCCATGTTTTTTGGTGCCAAGTTGATGTGTTTCAGTCCTTGACATACCAGTACAGTTTTGATCTCTCCACCAATGCGTAACTGTCACCATCACCGATGAACACTCCGCATTTGATGCAAACAAAGCAGTCCGGATGGTATTTGTGCTCCCCGGCGACCTGCATATAAAACCCAAAACCCATATCAAGAAAAGGGCGATTTTTTTTCAAAAATCGCTGTGGCCTAGCCTGGTCTGACACACATCCTCCACGGTGTGTAGCCTTCATCCACATCGTATTACAACCGCAAGCGGTCAGAGAAAGTTCAGTGTCGCTCCTCTAACTGCCAACCAACATGAACCAATATATCTGGGGTGGTTGTTTACGTGTAACTGTGGCTGACCTGCTCAGGTTTGCGTTTCCTTCCCAGTAAAAGTTGTTCTGAGAAAGACACACAATGGCATTAACGCAAACTGTTACATAAACCAACTCTGGACAGGTTTTGTGACTTTGGTTGTAATCCAATTCCTGCTTGCGACCATTTGTCATTATTTCAAGCATTTTGAGACCACAGCTTCCACCTACCACTACCTACCTTGAGTTTCCTCCACAGGAGGTAACAAAACGGCAACAAAAACATACTTCATCTAATACGGTTTTCCCAATAAACAATGAACGACAACCCCCAGACTACCGCCGAGTCAAACTCCTGGTGAACAAATACCTGCACGTCCAAATACTCATCCATCCAGCACCGATCTGTGCAGTTAAGTGACTGTCCAATTTGAAAGGGGGAGAAAAAAAAGAAGAAAAAAAAAAACGAAGGAAGCCGTTGTCTGAGAACTGTGAGCCAATGGCTAATGGCCATTTCCTTGCGTAGGGTCCAGCCCTGCTTAAGATTAGCCTCGAGTTTGATCCGTGGAAGTTGTAAATTTGACGGATGAGACACTAGCGTGGGGAAGGGGGAGGGGCGTTTGTTCCCCTTATAGCCGGAAATATAACAGTACAAGACATTGCCACGTGACTAAATGTAAACTGCTCTAGGGAAAGTGGGCGGTCGGTGGATCTGTTTCATTAGGAAAATTGGAGCTTCAGTTTTTGTTTTCCATAAGTGTCCTTGTTACTCTTAATCAATGGCTCTGTAATTCCAGGACAGAGTTTCTATTAACAGTACCAGTGTACCTTTCCAACAAACACTGAAATACACATGTACATACATGTCCTTTTTGTAATTGGGTAATTCCAGAAATTAGGGGTCCAAAGTGTGACATTTTTGCGTCTCTGTTACATCTCTTCTTTGTTATTTGACATGGAAATACCACTGGAATTGATTTCAAAGTTTTACTATCTGTTTGGTAGGTAGCCTGCATTAATTCAGCACTCTTGGAAATTAGAAAATGTGTTCTGAACTCACAAAATCGTATGTCAAATGTTGACAGAGACTCAAAAAAAATGGACCCCTAATTTCTGGAATTACTCAATTCCCTTGTGCTTCTCAAAAGCCTCCATTTACAGCATTAAATTAATTATCTGGTGTAATGTACGTAGACAAATTGTTGAATAACTTCTGTTACATGTACTAGACGGTCTACAATACAAGTGATTCATTTTTGAATGGATTGACAACACAGAGACATTTGCATCTAACGTGAGATTAACGATGTAACTTCTCTCAGCTTCATTAACACAACATGAAATGTTAACAATGTTTTTGAGGATGAACATGTACAGAGTTTGTAGGGAGAAAATTAAAATGGGGAGCCATTGGCTCCTAGAAAAAGTTAGCCACCAGGTTGATTTTTGTCCACATGGCATGCACATTTGCAAAATACACAAGTTCCATGTACAAAATCTGACAAAACGCAGAGAAGCATTATTCTGGCAATTATCTGCAGGACAGAAAGGCTTTGGATTTTGTGCTTGTGGAATAAATAAAAAATGGCTACCAATTATACGAAAAAAAAAACAGCTGAAAGAAAAGACAAGGCCTGTTTGTTCTTTGACGTTTGAGTATTTCGTACCCGGGACCGGACCGGACCAAGGGAAGCATTGGTTTCAAACTTCAGCTACATTTTGGACTGAAACAAGTTCATTGTACTGGAATCGTGGCGTGCGTAGACTGCTAGTGCATTATGAACACGCGAAACATCTCAGTTCCCCATACACACTCTATACAGCGTGCAACCACAAACCAGTCGACTCGGGTGCTTAGCACCTGTGCGTGTACGTACCTTCGCATAAACTACATTACAGTTAACATAGTCTCATGCTGTGAACACAGTGAGATGGAGGGAAGAAATGCGTGATCATAGAGACATATTGCTCGGTGCACGTAGAAGAAAGCTGGGCAGAGATCGTTCGTTAAATATGACTGACAAGGCGGGCGAATAACGCGCACAAATCACGGTCGCCACTTGAGATAAGAATTAAACATTTGGTTTCAAATCATCATTTTTTAGGTGCAAATCCGACTGTTTTGGTCGCACTATACAGCGCTGACATGTCCCTGTATCACAGTATGCATCTAAGGAAACTAAAATCAAGAAGTATTCCAATAAGCAACATTCTTTTATGACTGGAAGTCGTTAATTCCGAGTATGAAAGTGGTTCTGAGCAGAATTCAGAAAAGCTTTAAAAAAGGCTGCTGTCCACAGTGGAAGTGGTTGGCATTTGTTTACACAATGTGTCCTCAAAACTATTTCTTTATCACTAATGTCACACACATGTCACGTACACTAACAGTTGCATTCCCGCATTCATGAGGTCATCTAATGTTTATTACTCAAGTCACAAGTCATGGACAAAGATGCTCACCTGGTTTTTACCACTAGCGAATACAAGACATGATATATCACAAAGATGATACAAACGGAGAAAAAAAATAAAAACAAAAAAAAACACCATGATGACACCATTTCAGCCAAAAAAACAAAGAAAATCTAGTTATCTGCTTCTCAGGGTGTATTCATGACCTCCTTAGCAAAATCTCACAACTTACTTCATGATAGCCAGAAACATTTTTGGAAGGAATTTTGATTACATCACAGAGATAATTTTGACAAAGGGATTTTTATATCACCACAGAGTTTTTCAGAATCGATTCTGTGTAATCATTTGGTGCAGAGTCACCTAAACGTAGTCCTTACCCATATACGCAGACATTCCAAAGACATCTTGACCCTGGCTATTATATCGACACACGACTCAAGACTCACTGAGGCGATTAAAATGTAGTGTACCCCTCAACGGACAAACACACTCTCTGGCTTGTTTGTGATTGTGTCAAGCTTTATTTCTGAAACATGTCGTAACTGATATGAACCTGACGTCAGACTATTAAACAACCTTCCCCACCGATTACTGTGAGAGCCTTCCGGGTGTTACATGCACCGGTATCCTGTAAACTTCCTACTGCCTATGAATATGCAAAAATCACTCCCACCGGAAACCAACTCATCGACAACAAAATCTGTGGGACTTTTCATAAGAAGATGACAAAAAACACAGACAACTAGGGATTTTCCCCCCGAAGTCTGAAAATTCAAAAGCAACTTTCTCTCACACACGTAGGAGGGTCAAATTACACTGAAAAGGTTGTGGTTATACCACATGGTACACTTGTACTTGAACTGACACAGAAAGACAATCATAACACAGGAAAGCAATCTCACATGAGGTTTGTAGTAAAGTGTGGTATATAACTGTACAAATTGGTATTAAGGAAACTTTGTGGAAGCAGGTAACTAAAATAGCCCTGTATAACAACTGTAACACTAACCCCCTAGGGTGAACCTAACATCGTATTGAAATTGGAGGATTTGGGACTGTTAGTTCATATTTGAAATTTGATCTCAGAGCCACACCTAATGGATCCCAAACTAGAACTAATTTCTGCTACATTAGTTGATGGGCAGATAGTCTAGATCTTTTGT